TTTTTTTTTCTTTAGCATACAGATGCACAGACATGATTTTTCTTACACAAAGATTGTGGGTAGCAGATTATATCAAGACCTGTGACAGAAATGGAAATAGTGGATAGCAATTCATGAATGTACAATTATTTCAGTGGCACCTACCAAGAATGTTATTGTTTCAGAGATCTGCGGAGTAACTATGTAGGATTCAACTCACATTTTTATGAAATGCTGTTCTGTGGGCTTCCAGCTGTGATGTTCTATTTGTAAAACAGTTGTGGCACCATTCCCTTCAGGACTTTGGTTTCAGTCAAATCATTGCCGCAGGTGGAGGTAGTTGACTACAGCTCAATTTGTATATGAACGGATGTTTGAAAGTAAAAGCAATCTTTCCAATAGCTAAAACTTTTGACGTATTTTTCTGTCTGTACACTGGCAACCACATCTGTTGATTCTGGAGTCGCGTTAATAAGGATGTGGGATTGTGGAGATAAGAGGAACTGTGAAGGGTGTGAGTTGAATTCTGTGTGTTTCAAAGTGCTCTAGCACTTCGTTTCCCAGCCTGAGAGGGCAGAGCAGTTGGAGCAACTCAAAATTATCCAGTGATAGATGCAGCATATAAATGGAACTTAAAAGGATGTGTGATTTTTGATATTTGACTTTCCTTTTTAGTTGTATAATACCTGAAATAAGACATGATTTTGAAAAAGTTAATGCTTTAATATGATGGTCCCACTTCTGGAGCTGTGAGAGCTTTCTATGCATTTTGAGATCTCGTTTTGATTCTTCTCTTGTTAGCATGACAACATCTTACATCTATTTCCCTTGATAGTCACCCTCTTCCTGCAGCAGCTGCCCACTCTCACTGGGCTGCTTTCTTTTTTTCCGGTGTAAGTAGGTGTTTCCCATTTTCTGTCCTCTGTATACCTTCCTCCCTGTTCCAGTGCCCTCTCCAAATAAAAATCTAATCCTTTGATTTCCTGTTAATCTATATATTTACCTCACCTATTCAGATCTTTATGTTAATTTTTTCTTTCCCCTAGTGGGCTTTTTCCCCTTTTTTCTTGTTAAAAATAGATAATAGTTTTGTCTTTTTTTATTTGCTCCCTTAAAAGTTAATAAGCAAATAAGGTAAAAATTTTTAGAGGCTGTAGGAGGTATCAGTATTTTCATTGGACAGTACAACATTTCCAATAGGGAAGACAAGTAATATGTGTCTTCTGCTTCTTATTGCTGCCACCTACATAAGGATGTGACCTGAATTCTCCTGAAGAAGTATCATGTAAGTTTGTAGTAATTTAGTTTGTTGCATAATTGTATAACAATGCATACAGTTCCTGCATGAGTTCCTAGAGTAAATATGTTCTATGCTTGTACATTTTTCCTTGGGGTTGTGATGCCTTAAGTATTGCTGTAACATTGTGCGTAACCCCCTCCTGGGTGAAAATTCCAGGGGAAATCAGCCAGTTCATTTGCAGCATTTTTTCTTGATTTGAAAGTTGGGAGTTAAAATAGAGCACATTTAACTCCTGGTTTTTTTTTTTTGTATGTTTGTCTATCTGTGTATTATCTTCATTTTAAGAATTGTAATGCATAAATATTGCTTTCTAATGCTGGAAAAGGCAAACATATTTGTATTTTTTTGGCCCCTATTAGTATCTAGTTCAAGGCTGTCAGGGCAAGCTTAAGTAAATTAATAAATTCAGATAATTTCTCTTTTTTTATTGTGACTAATAAGGAAATTATTTTGTTTCCTGTAAAATGATGATTTGCAAAGTTCCAAGGTAGGCATAAAGATTACTGTATTTTCATTATGATTCAGATGAGTAAGGCATGAAGATGGCATGGAACCTGTGCTACACGGATGCCCGGGTCTTCTAGTGGAATCTGCAATTCTAGTGTTGATAAGACAGGCAACTCAAAGTGATCTTTTAAGAATGACTGTTTTCAGAATGTAGCTGATAAGAAATTTGGGAGGTCCATTAAGGTGTGTAAATGCAGGAGAAAACAGTTGCATGATCCTGAGATCCATAGCACCTGACATGTCCTTCTGGGTTCTGTAAGGGCTCTTTTTAAAGCATAACCAGAAAAAAGTGAAGCTTTAGTGGTAACCTCCTTTTTATCCAGTAGCTCAAATGTCATTCAATTCCTTTTGAACATGGGGTATTGAGTTCTCACATTGGTCATTAAAACCTACTTCTTTTGCTTTCACATGCATAGTAAGCAAAGGGTCTTATTTTTCCTGGGAGAGGAGAATGCTAACCTTTCTGTTAAATCTGTGCTGAAAGAAGTTCAAGGTCAACTGATTGTTGTGGGCAGGATGGGGAGAAAGACAGGAGGAGGACTGTGGCTTTGTAAACCATTTGCTGGCACTTTTGATATTAGTCCTTCCAAGAACTGCTTTATGTCTTAGTTCAGCAATTTCATTTTTCAGAATACCAGGTTCTTTTCTGAGCTGTGGCATGCACCAAGAGGAGCATCATACTGCCTAGCAGGTGTAGAATATTAAAAGTGACTTGGGAGATGATTCAAATTTGCATTTCCAATAACTCAGAAGGGACTAGAATCCAGTTCCTTCAATCTCCCTGGGAGGTCTTTTTAAGTTCTCCTGTAGTATCCTAGACAACAACGCTCAAAGACCTCAAGAGGTCATTTAGGCTGTGTCCCAACCTTAGGCAAAATTTATTGTGCTTAGAAAAACCTATTTTAAGAATCAGAATAGTTTGGGTTGGAGGGGACCTTTAAAGGCTATCTAGTCTAACCCCACTGCAATGAGCAGGGACATCTTCAGCTAGATCAGGTTGCTCAGAGCCCATCCAGCTTGACATAGCTCTCAAAGATCTCTCTTAAAATTTATGGAAGTAATTTCAACTTAGGGAAATCCTCCTGATAATTCACGTTACGTGTAGTTTTGTCAAGAATCATCAGAGAGCTAGAAATTTTTATCCTGTGTCTTCTTGGCAAGACTTCTCATCTATATCCATCTCCTTCTTAAAGTCAGTAGCATACACTTTTATTACAACATAATTTTCTACTCTCAAATATTTGAAGCACGTATAACTTAGTTTGGTACAATCATGCTGTAAAAGCTTGGAAACTAATTTCATTTGTGAAATAGAGAATTAGATCAACAATAGTAATACATTGAGTGAATAGCATTTGACAGTGAAGATTTGTGCTGGGGGGGGGGGGGGGGGAAGAA